TAATAATAATAATAATAATAATATATGACCAAAAGAAGAGTATAAATCACTTCAATCTTCACTGAAGTCGAAACAAGGAAACATTCAGCATATTATGTGATTGCTTGTTCTATGACGTAAATATAGAAGGGTATAAAGTAGTTTCTTGGAGAAAAGAAAGTTTTACTTGACTCTGGCTCCACTATAATCCCAGGAGCACTTTTGATTAGATGGTAGTGGACTTTTGAACTATTTTTTTAGAATTGATAAATCAAGATAGCTAGGGCAGTGATACCCAGAGCAGGTGGCAAAAGGGATAACATAATTCCATTCTTAATAAAATCAGTGGGTAAAAAGGTGAATAAAGCTTGAATATAGAGGAATCCAGATAAATCTAGAACCAACAAGACATTAAATAAATAAAGACAACACATGATAAAGACAAGACATTCCTAGTATGTCTTGTCTTTATCCCTTTTCCTTAAGGTGCCCATTTCTCACTTTATTCTCTTTAAAGTGCCATTTCTTAACCATTCCTGATGGCTTTAATTTCTGTTTCTAATTCCTTCCTTCCTTCTTCCTTTCCTCCCTCCCTCCCTCCATTCCTCCTTCCCTTCCTCCTTCCTTCCCTTTCTTATCTTTTTCAGTTTTTGTTTTCAGAGACAGGGTTTCATTATGTAGTTCAGGGTGAGCTTAAGCACACTATGGAGGCCAGGCTGGCCTCAAACTCACAGCGATCCACTTTCACCTCCTGAGCGCTGGGATTACAGGCATGTGCACCACCATGCCTGGCTACTAATCTCATTTCTTATGGAAGATTGGGTTTCAGATTACAAAAACCGAAATACTATCCTTCCAACTCTTACTTTTCTACTTTTGCTCCCCTATTTTAGCCATTTTTGTCAGAGTAAGAAAGAGATATAAGCAAATGTGTGTTCTATATTGCACTGCTTTGGAGTAACCATATAACTGACTTTGCACACCAGAACTGTAAATGTACTTTTCCATGAAAATGTTGTCACGCATATTGAATTAGTAGACTTACATGTAAGGCACGTTGTGGGTTAAATCTGCCTTGCAATGTGACCTGGGATCCTATAAGTGAAATGTAGCATTTCACCTGGACCTCTTGCCACAGGACTTTCACATTTTGGGTGTCATTCCTGTCAGATTTGTTCAGAAATGCAAAATGACACTTTCTCAAAAACAGTAGTTCAAATGAAATCTCCATATGGAATAAACTGTCATACAGAGGGTGATTCAAGAGGAGGAACAAATGAATCAGAGGTAACAGTACTAAAGACCTAAACCTGCTAAGATTTTTTTGGGCTCCTAAAAGACCACCATGATAGGAAGCACAATTTCTATAACAAAATACTGTATTCCAATATACCATGGTACATATGTCTCCAGTGGCTATTAGGAAATATGTTTTTGAACTATCTGATCCCTAGTTACTATAAGCCCCTAAGTATTTTATCTCTATTTTGTCAGCTACTACTTTTTAGTTTATTAACAATATATGCCAGGTTGCTATATTAATTTTACAGGGTTGTAATCAGGAACAAAAGGAATAAAGTAAACTCACTTTATTATGTTAAGGAGCTCTACAAATATTATTCTATCCATCTCTAGCAACATTAGAAGAACTGTGAGCTACTTGCTAAGAGGAGAAACACTAACTCCTATTGATTTAATTATAAATACTAAATCAACCGCTAGTCTACACATGTGTTTCTTTGCTACAGAATTAAAAACATAGATTTATGTGACAAGAAATTTTTCTGTTAACCCAAGGCCCTTTTCACTTCTTCTGGTTTAATTTTTTTTTAGAAAAAAGCTACCAAATACCTATTTTTCATGATTCTGGTATTTATTGTAATTTTGCGTCTAGATTTTAAATTTTCCAGAAAGTTAGATGGACTGTCACAAGAATGCCAATCACAGGGACTACTAACGATGATGAGCTGGAAAGAAAGGCACCCAATGGAAGAAAAGCTGCCAAGAAATACAAACAAAAGCTGCCAAAGTCATTTCTTTTAACATTGATAGTGAAGAAAATGTATTTACAAACTAGTGCAAAAAAATGGAATGAATTCAGTCTTATCAAAAATAGAAAACCCACGTAAGATATCTCCAGCAGAAACCAAGTGAATTCTTTCATGCATAAAAATTGTTTCAGGCACTGGATAGTCTGAAGATCTGTCAACTAATAGACATGTAAAAGAAGTCTCACCACTTGAAATAAATGGAGGTCAGACATCTCAGCCACAAAATGATGTTCCATATGTCAGAAATATCTTCCAGGCAGAAACTGAGAGGTTATCTTCATGTTGCCTTGAATGAGAGAAAGCTAGAATTGGACACTGGAGATGATGAAAGAGATTTTATTTACACAACAGTTGGTCCAATAAGAGTCCTTAAGAAGGAAAGGCTCAAACAGTTTGAAGGCCTGGTGAATGATTATGAATAAAAAAGTGAAAAGGAGACCACCTGTCTGTACAGATCTGGATGGATCTGGGGAAATGTGTAGTTTGCTGATAGAAGATGCAGATAAGAACTCAAAACACTGAGCAAATTTTAGGAAACTGAATGATAAAAAAATAAATACTACAAACAAAAAAAAATCTTCTGGAAAAAAATAGTCTCAGGTCTAGAGAGTAGGTCAGACGGGACAGTGATGGAAAGATTACAGCTATCTATCACTTAGTGCCATAAGAAGTGCTGTAAGAGAATTAAGCAGGAAGAACATGAAGAGGTCACAGTCTCCGTTTATTACAGAAGGACATTTATAAAGTACTAGTGTTTGTTGCTGGATTTGTCAGAGTTAAAAATCCCTTAAGCCATTCTCCAGACTTTCTGTCCTGAATGCCTTTCTTAAAGAGATAGAACACCTGTATCTGTCAACAGTGCTGTGTCTGAGCTGGACTGAAATGGGACTTCCAAGTCAGACATCATTGTGATTTTCAAAGTAATAAAAAGGGAACATACTGGTGAAAGCAAGGGAGCCTGTAATTTCAAATATTCTCCAAAGCAGGTACAGCATGGTCTAAGATGCTCACTTTCCTGGATCACAAAATTTAACTGAAGACAACCGTGATGTAAATAAGTTAAATTTTGAAATAGATCATTTATCTAGTGAGTGAGTAAGTTTGGCCCTTCTTGCTGGTGGAGTAGCATATGGTATTAATACAAACAAAAAATAAATTGTAGATGATGTGGAAGGAACAGGACTAGCAATGCTTCAGTTACACCACAGGATGTTTTGATGAGTATCCCTGAAAAAAGTGTAGCAACACAAAATAATACCCCACAACAAGAAGAAACTAACATTTTTCAGTTGATACTTTTGATAATAGTATTGTTATGGAATTCCACCTGCTTGATTAGTTTAAACAGCAGTAAACTTCCTTCAGATGGAAAGGAAACCTCAAGAACATACCAGATACCTTTCCTTTAGTAGTAACCTGATCTGTTTTCATCCCTAAGGCCTCTCACTTCCCCCTAACAACCAAAAGAATTTTGCATATAAGACTACCCCTTTCCATTTTTCAATGCTATGGTATATTCTTAGGCTACTGCAAAGTATTAAAGTATGTATTTGTGTTCATTTCTGTCTACTTATGTAGTGTCACATGTTTTAATATGCAATGTTCATCAAAATATTTTAAATATGATAATTTCTCGGGAAGTGGGAATATTCTGTATAAGGATTATGCAGCATTAAAACTATACACTTGGGCTCTCCTATTTAAAATGTATAAGTTTAAAGGTAATACACTTGTGTAGAGTTTTTAAATATTCATCAGTTTAATTGAAATATTCTGTTCAACTTTGACAGGAAAAATAGGTAGGAGGAAATATTTAGGGTTGATCTTTTGAATATTACATCCACAGGAACATAAATATCTGACCTCTCTGGAATAATTTCTACCATGATTTTAGATCAACTAGGTGTGGCTTCTCTAAGAAGACTTTTTTGTTGGGGGGCAGTTCCAGGATTGAACTCAGGACCTTGCTCTTGCAAGACTGGTGTGTTGGCACTGAGCTAAATCCTCAGCCCCTAAGAAGATATTTTTTTCTTTCCACAGCTTGTCTTGGTTCTTTTCGAGCTGGATTATTCACTCCTGCACGTTTGTCCACTAATGGTTACCCTGACTTAAGGAGCTGTATCAATGGTAAGCCCTTCTGCCATACGTCTAAATAGTAAAACAACGTGGAAATCCTGCAAATAAAGTACAGCTATGTTAATATAAATTGATGTTTAAAAATCAATAAGTGAGTCCTTAAAGGACTGTATCCCTGGCAGGGAAGTGTTTTCAGACTCCATATCAATAAATGTCATTCATTTGTAAAGGCTGCTCTTTTACCAAAAATAACATTTTCACTAATGTTCGAACTGAATAGTAGTTCCTCTAGGTCATTGACTTCAGAAACTATTTCTAACTGCATTGTGCTGGCTGTTGTTGAAAAATAGTATAATATGACCAAATGTTACAGTTGATTAATAGCTCTAACTAGAGCCATGTTTATTCTTCTAACTTTTTGGAATCAACAGTGCAAATGTGAAATATGTTATGTGACTCACATTAGCTTGCATGCTCTGAAGTTTACTAGGACATAGTGATGATGCTAATTGATTATTTTTCTCTAATTTACCAACTGATGAAAAAGAGAAAGGCAAAACTGCAAGATATAAATTGAGAAGTTTTTCAGTTAATATTTTACATTGGGTCTTGGCATTATCAAGATATTCATTTGTCTTTATTTTCTCTAACTAAAAATGGCTGCAATTATAGGCATAGAACAGATGAACACATACTTTGTACTTCATATTTTTTCCTCATTTACCAAGGACAGAAAAATAACAATTAGGAAATACAATTTCCTATTAATCTATTTCCCATCATTTAACTAATATTTACTTTATTACTACTTTTTAAATAACCTGATGTTATGAAGAAACTTTTTGAAAAATTCAAATTAATTAGCTTTTAGCTAAGTTAGTTATATACTGATTTATTGGCAGATATTTCTTCTGGCTAGTTTAAAGGGGGTGTATTGGAAGAATGGAAAGAACTTGTATGGTTCAGTAGAAAAGCTTGAGAAGCACATTTAGAAATGTACAGGAAAAGAGGGAATGCAGCAGTGTCAATGTGAGGGCAGAGAGACCCTAAACAGATTAAGAAACAAATGAGTATATGTATCATTTAAGATTGTGTGCTGTGACATTTTATGAAGACAATAAACAAGATACTATAATTGAGTGAGCTTTATCTTGTGCTTTTTGATATAACTTTTCCCTATAATACTCCTTATTCAGAAATCAACTATTTCTTTCTTTCTTTCTTTCTCTTTCTTTCTTTCTTTCTTTCTTTCTTTCTTTCTTTCTTTCTTTCTCTTTCTTTCTTTTTTTGGTACTGGGGATTGGACTTGGGACCTTAGCAGGCGGTGGAACCACTGAGCTAAATCTCCAGCCCAGAAATTAACTTCATCCTCTGTTAATTTAGTCATTCATGCTATCTTCTTTTTCTTTTTCTTAGCTTTAATTGAGTTTATTGGTACATTTTAGGTATACAGTACAGTTACATTCATTGTTGGGATCTTGTACCTTTACATGACAAGTCTTGATTCTCATTTTTTCCCCTTACCTCTGCCCTCCCTTAACCCCCTCCTCCCCTCCCCATCTACAAACACTTTATTTTCATCTTTTCATTCTTTCACATTTTTTTCTTTTCCCTTTTTACTCTTCCCCTACCCATGCCACCTTCCCTACACCTTTAGCTCCTTTCTTCCCATTTCTAAATGTCAGTAATCTTATTAGAATCTTATGCATTGTTGCAGATTGTTTACACCAGGGAAACTATTCAGTATTTACACATGTGTGACTTATTTATTTCACTTAGGAGTATATCTTCAATATGTATCCATTTTCCTATGAATGAATCTATTTTCTCATTCTTTATGGCTGAGTAATATTCCATTTTATAGAAAAACCACA